TCACAACGGACTATTCCATTAAGCTAAGCTAAAGCTAAAAATCGGGCGAGAATTTTCTGATTATAAAACCCCCAAAAAGCAGATAAATTATTTTGTATTTTGAGTCAAAAGTGTTTCATCTCTATCAAATGAAAATCATACTTGTTTATCATAGCTCGAACACTTGATGTTGGCTTATTAATTCCTTTCTGGGGTATATATAAATATATATGGAAATATATATTCCTGAGCTGCTTTAAAAGCCCTGCAAATATATATTTGTTGATAAAACTTTACTTAGATTCGTCTCTTCTCTAATTCGATATCAAAATTAAAAATACCATTGAGAGTATGTATAGAAATACATTAAGAAAGGATGTTCATCAGCCGAAGATCAATTATATCAGAAGATATTTAATAGAGTACTGGGAATCTTTACTAGATACAAATACTCAAAATAATAATCTTTTTTAACCATTTCGTAAAAGAAATTGAATATCAAAAGCCAACGGACCTCCAACAGCAAATCGGGGCTGATGAAAAATTAGCATGTAGGCGTTGCTTTACTCCTCGTTGGGGCAGTCAGTCGACAACATTTTATAAATAAACTCGCAGCTAGGGCTTATGCTCATTAGTTCTGCACAGGGCGGACTGTCACATGGCGCCATTCTATCAGCTGCCATTCAAGGATAAAGGCTGAGGAACTGTTTCAAGAATGCCAGCACATGACAGAGTATGGTGCAGAAATATAACATAAATATGCCGGAGAAATAACTTAATGATGGTGATATTAAGCATGATGGACTCTGACGACCTGTGTACAACTGAATTATATATTTTAAATATAAATATCTTTTATTAATTTTTAAAGAGTAGGCTATATTCATTCCCTCACTTCGGTTTCAAGCAAAAAAAAAAATATTCCACAGCACCTTTATAAATAAAAAAACACTCTGATTTCAAAGAAACTTCAATTTCATGGTATTTGCCAGAATTGTAAATACCAGCCATATGTACATATTTATATATTTTCAAAAGAGTACTTTAAACTTTATAATTGACAATGACGGGCAAAAGGATTTGCGGAGCAGTGCCAACCCACACAGAACTTTTAAATAAAAGCAATACGAGACCTTTAGTAATTAGTTCCGAACGATTTAATGCCATGTTCGCCAGGTCCGGTAAGAGCCAAATACTAAACGAGTCTATAAAGGAGGAGTATCGCTATAAGCAATATCTGAAAGAAGGCAACGATGCCCTTTGCAAATGTTTCCCAGTCAAAACAACCCCATCGCCAGAAGAGGAGGACCAAGCCAATTTTTATGAGATGAAGAGAAAAGTTTTAGAAGGTAGCAGAAAACAAGAATTACATGAACAACAGCTACGCAATGAACGCATTGTGAAAGCAAATAAGATACTAGAAAGCCTAAAGCCCTCTCAAAGAACTCTGCGCCAGGCACAGATCGAGAGCGATTTGATCTATCAGCGGCAATATAATGAAGCCCTCAATAAGGAGATATCTGAAAATATCCGGCAACAGGAGCGCCTAGATGGACATCAGTGTCCGGAAAGATTGATACCCTTTTGCAATTTCACAGAGCAGCAGCTTAAGGCTCAGCAGCAGGAAAAATCGGTCACCGTGCGCAGGCGATTCCTCAAGGATCTCGAAGAGCGGCAACAACGCAAATTAGCTGAAAAGGAACAAGAGATCTACGAGGGAATTATCGAGCGTGAGCAGTACAAGTGCCTGCAAAAGAAAGAGGAGCAGGCAGCCAAAGAGCTGGCAGAAAATAAACGCGAGTTTTGCCGTCGTGCCTATCGGGAATCGCTCAAGGATAAGGCCGAGATCAAGAAACGTAAGTTCTGCTAATGATTTCAAAAGGTCGTGCTAATTGCCACAAAACCTACTAATAGACGAACGCATCTGTGAGCAGATTGAGGATCGCGTCATTTGCGTAGATGTCACGAAACGCCGTTACCTGGAGGCGCGGTCCAACAAGGCATTCAAAACGATGCACACGAGGGATATGTCCGAACGTGATGCATTGGCTAAGCAGATCTGCCTCATGGAGCCAGCGAACACTCGAAAAACCCAGGAATTGCAGGAAGAGCTTGAAAAGCGTTATGAGGTAGAGATAGAGATGGATGAAGCCCGACGTCAATGTCAGAAGGAGGAATTGTCCAACCAGCGTCGTGCCTACGAATTGGAAGAGCGCAGGCAGGCTGAAGGGCGCCGCCAACGGGATGCGGAGATTCGTCGATTTGACATAGCTGAACGCTTAAAGAACCAGGAAGCCAATAAACGATTCAATTCCACAGAAAAAAGGCGCAAAGATAAGGCAGCTGCTGACCTACGTGACCAACTCCACTGCCAGCGGGACGAGTTCCAGAAGCAACGTAAAGATCAGCAATTGCGCATCTCTGCTTGCCAACCCGATCTCTATTTGCAACAGGACGTGGAGTTTTACTACCAGGCGCTTAAGGTGATTTCCGAGGCGCATGAGAATGGACGACCCACACACCCATTGGTGAAGGCAGTGGAAACTTACCGACGCGACAACCAGATAGACACGATTCCCGAAAGTCGTACAACACGTAGATGCAAGATACGCGACTATTGCTGGACAGGCTACCACTCCAAGGCGGATTTGGCATACAAAAAGTACGAACAGCGGGAAACATGTCGAAAAGACCAGGCGACGGCTCAGCATCAGATTTTGATAAACTGCATTAAAATTAATAAAATAGCTGCCGAGAAACGACCATGTAAAGCCCCCGTTCCGGAGAACCCTGTCAAGTGCTTTCAACGTCGCGGCATGCCTGCCATCGAAAGTGTGGATTCCTTCGATTGTGGAAGCAATGTCTGCTACGCAGATGATCCTCAGCCTGGTTCATGCCCAAGCGCCTTGGAGGTTACGAGGACATGTGATACAAATCTAGAATCGATAAGACCTGATGCTGCACCCTATATAAGTGACATATGTCCGGGTTCCATTGAGCGTAAAGTTCTACCGAATACATCAAAAGCTAAGCTTAAGCACCATCATGGACAGACGGGCTCAGATAAGGATTCAGAATCATTAATTCATTCGAAACGGACTACACAAGCCCTCGAATCGAATCACTCGGGAACAATTAGAAAAATGCATCAAACTAAAAATCACAAAGGACCACCCAAACAACCCAATCGACCTAGTATTTGGCGTTAAAATTGGTTTTATAATTGGAGTGCGTTATCGAAACCTATATCTTATGATTTGATTTCATTGATTTTAATTAATTCGATAATTATGTATGAATGCATTCAATTAATTTCAACTTTTATATATTTTAAGTAGTTGAGCAACATAAGTGTATTTGAATGGTTAAAGTGATATAAGATATATAAATCTGACACAATTTTCGTTTTTCAATTATTATCGATTATCAATATAATTATAAACAAGAGGTTCTAGTCGGGAGCTCACGACTAGGGGATACCCTGAACCCTCTTCTTCCAACATCAAATGCATATATATATTCTATTTTAGAAGCTATATGTCAAGTTTGGTGACTCTAGCTCTTATTATTTACCAAAATTGCCCAAAAAACAGGACATCGATTGCTTGGAAACGGAGCAAGTTATCGATTATCGGAAACAAACTCGATCTGCGCGGGAGCTAGGAGCATCTACATCTAAAATTTCAAGTCTCTAGCTCTTATAGGTTCTGAGATCCTTGCGTTCATACATACGGACGGACGGACGGACAGACAGACGGACATGGCTAGATCGACTCGGCTATTGATGCTGATCAAGAATATATATACTTTATGGGGTCGGAGATGCTTCCTTCTGCCTGTTACATACATTTGGATTTTGCACAAATACAATATACCCTTGTACCTATTTTTAATGGGTTCAGGGTATAAAAATATATATATATATATATATATATATGTATTTACATATATGTTGGTATACTCAGGGAAGTTCGAGTGCTTCCACGTCGGGAATAAACAAGAGTTGAACATAAAGACAAAGTTATAAATTCCAAACGGATTAAATTCGATGTGCATTGTGAAAAAGGTGTACACGTCAAACCTTTGTAGAAGTGAGTGAAAGACTGTGGTTAGTTTAACAATGGGTAGGCCAGGCTGTACCCTTGCACTTCACTATCCATTTGCTAATTAGTTAAAACTCAGTCAATGATCTAATCGTTCATAGTTTCTAGAGCTAGGAATACTTATTGAATATTGATAAAAAGGATATAATCTTTTAGGTAACAGACAGTAGGGGTTATCTTCGATCTTCTTGATCGACATCAACAGCCCAGTTGACTAAGCCGTATCTAGCCAACATATATAAACATTCTAGTATCGGGAAATGTAATTGATAGGGGATTTACACGTTTCTCCTTCTATGGAACGCGCAGAATAAGCTTGTCTTAAAATAGCGTTCGTTTTCGATTTCCAACGCATGCTGAATTCTTTTAGCATGATCAAATCATAGAAATACCTAAAGAATAGCCCTTATTGGCCCTCTCGTGTGTTGGTAGTTGCTTTTATGACCATTTCATGGAGCTTGGGAGCGAGCGATGGCTCTTGTCGTGGGTCTCCTGTTATCCTTCAGGGATTGTAGCTGTTATGTTCCAAAGGGGCACTTCCTTTTGTTGTTTAGAGCCGAACATGGGCATCGTACACGCTCTAGCGTGTACTTTTCTTGCCCCATCTAGCTTCTGATATATGCAATTGAATGGGAAGCCTAGCATTTCTGAGGCTATTTGGCAACTTTAAATCCTTTTGTTGGAGTGGAGGTCGGTTGTTCTTTAATTGTCATAGGTGGGCTAACACTGTTTGGCTCTCTTGCATTTAGCAAGTTTTTCTTTGGGGCATCGGATTATCATCCTTGTTCTGCTTGAGCATACGCATTTAATAGACGCCTGGCTTATAGGTAGATGAGAAAATGTTTACTTCAGAATAATATATTACTTAGTAGAAGGCTATTGCTTTCACTTCTAGAATAAGCAGAATCATAATAAATACATAAATACATACAACATACTTATAATTCAAGAGAAATCCACAAGCTTTCCATTTATACAATCCACGAATATCCCAACTTCATTCTTATACAATAATATACATGTAATACATAAACAATTAATAATGAAGCTGAATAAAGTTTGTTTTGCCCAGCCCGGCCATGTGAAATTCATAAAGAGTCGCAAGGCTTTCCCCGTGGTAGTCAGTGCCAAGCGCTTTGATGCCATAATGGACAGGTCCCGCATGGAAAAAAAGCATGCAGCCCTGGCCGCAGAGGAAGAAGAGAAACGTTACATGAATTACCTGAAGGAAGGCAGTGATTGGCTGTGCAGCCGTTTTACAAAGATGTCGCACCAGGACTTGGATAAGGAAAAGCAGGCGAAACTTGATCAGGAACTGAAGGAAGCTGCAATCAGGGAAAAGCAGGTTAAATATGAGGATGATTTGAACCGGAAAAAACGCATCTTTCGGGCTAATCGAATATTGGAGAACATGAAGGAGAACCAAAGAGCATTGCACCGTGCAGTGGTCGAGAGTGAAGTGATATATCAAAGAAAATACAACGAGGCTGTTGACCGTGAAATTGCCGAAGACGCTCGGCGTCAGAAGCGTCTGGAAGATGAGATCTGCCCAGAAGTCTTGATACCACTCTCCAATATAACAGAGGAGCAGCTTAAAGCTCAGGAAAAGGCGAAGGCGATGATTATGCGCGCCGAATTCCTAAAGGACTGCAAAGAGAGACGCGAGAGGAAATTAGCCGAAAAAGAGCAAGAGGAATGCGATGTTCTCATCGAGCGTGCGCAGTACCAATGCCTGTACGAGAAGGAACAGAAGGAAGCCAAGGAGCGGGCCGAAAAGAAGCGCGAATTTTGCCGTCGTGCCTATAAAGATGCGCTCAAGGAAAAGGCAGCGATCAAAGAATGTAAGTTAACAGCGAACAACTATTCTGATAATAATCACCCAATCAACCACCAGACGAACGCATATGCGATAAAATTACCGATCGCATCATCTGTGCTGATGTGACTAGACGCCGCACTCTGGACACGCGCTACAATAAAGATTTTAAGGCGAATTTAGCGAAGAGAATACGCGATCGGGAGAATCGGGCTATACAAATCTGCCGCCTCCATCAGGAAAACAAACGCCAGGCCCAGGATCATGAGAGGCAAGTAGGGGAGCAATATGATACAGAGGTGCTGATGGACGAGGGGCGTCGCCAATGTGAGATAAATGAGCTGTCAAGGCAGCGTCGTGCCTACGAGCTGGAAGAACGCAGGCAGGCTGAGAAGCGACGTGAACGGGATGCAGAGATTCGCCGCTTTCAAGTTGCTAATCGACTCAAGAACATGGAGACCAACAGAAGATTCTGTGCAACGCAGAAACGTCATAAGGATCAAGCAACTGCCAATTTACGGGGCATACTCTTTGGTCAACGGGATGATTTCTTGGAACGACGTCAGCGGGAGCTAATGCAGATATCTTCTTGCCAAGCGGATCCTTACATAAAAGAGGACGCGATGTTCTTTGATGATGCGCTCAAGGCAGTTGTGCATGCGCGCAAAACGGGACGTCCTGTTTTCCCGATGGCTAAGGCTGTGGAGATCTACACACGCAAGAACCAAATCGATAAGGTTCCCGAGAGTCGTATGGTGGGCAGGAGCAGAATACGCGACTATTGCTGGCCTGGATACCATTCCAAGGCTGATTTGGCGTACAAAACTTACGCTCAAAGGGAAAAGTGCCGCGAGGATCTGCAGTATGAACGCAATCAGATATTTGACAAGTGTATAAAAATCACTAAAATTGCTGCCGAAGAGCAGCCGTATAAAAAGTGCGAGCTGGAGTGTCCCATGAAGTGCTTTCAGCATCGCGGCATGCCTGCCGTCGAAAGTATCGATTCCTTTGAATGTGGAAGCAATGTCTGCTACGAGGAGGATCTTCAGCCTGGTCAGTGTCCAATTGCTATGCAGGTTGCGGAAAATTGTGACGAGAGTCTTCGATCGAATAGGTCGGCAGATTCAATAGAGGCACATTGGAGCTCTCCGGACTTAAAAGAAAGCCCATTAAGTAGCGCAAGCTCGATGAAAACTTTAGGTGGAGTTCATCGATGCAGTTCAAATGAAAAATTCAGCAAAACAGCCGATCGTAAGCGTATTTGGCGTTAAAATTCTAGGATCTAATCAGCGAAATGTAATGAGCTAGCTTACAATGATTATGCTTAGTTTCTATAGTTTGAGCGAGTCGCCCTATTAATAATTGTCAATTGAAAGAATTTGTCAAATAACTGTTCTAAGAAGTTGCGAGAATATAGTAAATTTAGAGCAAAAGATAATGCATTTTTACCTTCTCAGACGCCGTATCAAAAAACTGCGTTTCGGAATTTACCACTGCATATATTTTAAATAGAATGTGGCAAAGCTGAAATGTTAGCTAAAGCAACTAACAATATTTTTAGAGGATAATGTGTTTAAGCTAACACTATTCGGAGCTGACGGGTACATTGTAAGGTGGCAGCGCTTAAATGTTGCTGTTTAATATTTGACAACAGAAACTAGAGCAGCCAATAAATTTGCTTGATAATAAAGTTGCTGTTTGACACACAGATAAGAATTAGAGAATATGAATCTACATAGTAGCCTATACATTCCATAATAACGAAAACAAACAAAAAAAAAAACAATCAAACAAACAAAGAAACAACAAATACAAACAACAGACACCCACACAGACAGGCATCACAGTTCGTACACTTCTTCTGCACATCGATAGAATTTCGCGGTACCGAACACGTTAAATAATAATAAAATGCTGAGGCTGAAGTTCAACAAGGCGTGCATTGCGCAACCCGGCCACACGAAGTTCATCAATAATCGCACGCTTCAACCTGTTGTGGTGTCGGCGAAGCGCTTTGATGACATCATGTCCAGGTCAACTATAGCACAGAAGCAAGCAGCTCTGGCTGCGGAAGAGGAAGAGCGTCGCTACATGACATACCTCAAGGAGGGTAGCGATTGGGTATGCAAGCGCTTCACGAACACGGGTAATATCTCGTTCGACGAGGAGAGGCAAGCAAAACTTGATCAGGAACTGCACGAGGCTACAATCAGAGAGAGGCAAGCTCTGCTCGAGCACGAGCAAATGCGCGTGAAGCGCGTCATGCGCGCTAACCGAATACTGGAGAACATGAAGCCGGGTCAACGAGGTCTGCAACAAGCCGTGATTGAGAGCGAAATGTGCTATCAGCGAAAGTTCAATGAAGCCCTCAATCGTGGAATTGCTGAAGAGGCTCGAAAGCAGCGGCGTTTCGATGAAGAACAGTGTCCAGAGCTTTTGATACCTTTTTGCAATGTCACTGAGGAGGAGGAAAAAGCACGTGAAGCGGCGAAAGCGGTCGAGTTACGTGCCTATTTATTAAAAGATCTGGAAGAGAGGCGACTGCAAAGATTGGCCAAAAAGAAGCAGGAGGATTACGACGTAATTATCGAGCGCGCACAGTACAAGCTTCTGCACGAGAAGGAAAAAAAGGAAGCCAAGGAGCGCGCTGAAAAAAATCGCGAGTTTTACCGTCGTGCCTACCAAGATGCTCTCAAAGAGAAGGCCGAGATAGCCAAATGTAAGTTCATGCAGCTAAGCTTAATACAAATGAAACTGATTACCACAAACCTCTTCCATAGACGAGAGCATGTGTAGTGAGATCGACGATCGAGTCCTTTGTGTTGATCTCGTAAAGCGTCGCAAGCTAGACGCCCAGTACGGTAAAAAAATCAAAGAGCTGCGTGACAAGCGAATACTCAAGAAGGAGGCGTGCGCCGTGCAGCTATGCTACCAGGCACAGGCGGAAAAGCGATTGGCTCAATCGCATCAAGTCCGGGTTATCAATCAACATGATGAACAGATTAAGTTGGACGAGGAACTACGCCAGTGTAAGTTAAATGAATTGTCCCAGCAGCGTCGTGCATACGAGCTGGAGGACCGCAAACGGGAAGAGCTGCAACGCCAGCGAGATGCGGAGATTCGTCGTTTCAAAGTTGCTGAACGATTCAAGATCGAGGAAGCCAACAAAGACTTCAATGCTGCCCAGAAGCGGAAAATGGATGAAGCGACTGCAAACCTGCGGGACATACTTTTTGGCCAGCGGGACGAGTTCCTAGAAAAACGTAAACAGGAACAAATGCGTCTATCTGCTTGCCAAGGAGATCCTTATCTGCAAGAAGATGTTTTGTTTTTCGATGATGCGGTTACGGCGATTAAGGATGCGCGTAAGTTGGGACGTCCTGTTTTCCCAATTGCCAAGGCTGTGGAGCTCTACCGACGCAGCAACCAGATTGATGAGGTGCCTGAGGGTCGAATGGTGGGCAGGAGCAGAATACGAGACTTTTGCTGGCCAGGATACTACTCCAAGGCGGATTTGGCGTACAAAAAGTACGAGCATCGGGAACAATGCCGCCAGGAACAGCAAAGGGATCGCAATCAGATCTTTGCCAATTGCATTAAAATCACCAAAATGGCTACCGAAGAGCAGCCGTACAAAAAGTGCCCTACGGGGGGCGTCATCAAGTGTTACCAACATCGCGGCCTTCCTGTCGTCACCAGCATCGATTCCTTCGATCGTGCTAGCAATGTATTTCACGAGGAAGATCCTCTGCCTGGGGGCAATCCAACTGCTATGCAGCCTGCAAAGTCGGATAAATTTTCTCAGCAAAATAGTGCGCTCTTGCCAAAGCAGAGTAGTGGGCAGGAAAACTCCAAAGGATCCAAACAAGTTTCCTTACATTCTAATATTTCTAAGCAGCTTTCGATCCAAAAGCTCGTTTGCAATCCAAATCGTTCGGGTTCATCGAGGGCAACAGCTGGGGCTACCCAATTAAGTCAAAAGACATGCAATAGAAAACCACTTAATTCAACTCAAACATGTTATTCTTGACTCTAAGGACTTGAACATTCCAGGTCTTTTGAATTAAATCATTACTGCAATTACTGGATACTCAAAGATGCTACAAATATGCATCAAAGCAGCAGGCCAAGAATAGCTTGTTCTTTTTCATAGCATATCAGTTAACTGATATGCAGAATCACATAAAGAAGGCGAAATTCATAACTTTCATAGTTTGAATTTCGTTTCTTAATGGTGCTCTGTACTTGAAATGCGATTCATATTTTAAATTATTTAAAATGCAATTGCCATAATGTAACTAAAAATTGAGATAGTTTCTCAGTATTGTGAATAAAGAACTTATTTTGAAAGCAAGTCGTTTACTGGAGGAGAGAGTTTAAGTACTGATGACTTATCAAATATAACTATCTAAGAGTTCAAAGACTTTAACTTAGGCACCATTTAAGAATTAGATACTAATCTCTTTACAAAAACTTGGCTTTGGCTATGGTCGCCGTACAGTTTTCCCAATGCAAAGGCACATTTTGTATTAACAAAAGCAGCATCCAGTCTGTCGACCTCAAAGTAGCCGGGGAAAAAAAAACCGAAATGAAAATAAAGCAGGACAGATTCAAGTGCTTGGTGCTGCTTCTTTGGTGCCTGGTGACGGCGAATGCTCTGGATGGATGGTTGTGCCATTTTGTGGGAATTGCAAATTAGCGTGGATTGCGCACTTTGCCAAAGCGACAACGAGAACATAAACGAATGGGTTGGTAATATGGGAACGTGGCAACGGGAAGGGGAGTCAGAGCGGGCAACACGCGGTAAGAAATCGGCCAGACAAACACAAACACGAACAGAAACAGAAGCAGAAGCAGACAGTGAGACAGGTGAGAAAACACTTGACTCACGTGCTATACACCTGCACGAATGCGCCAGGTGTGGCATTAGCAGCTGTTGACACACATCTTATGGCGGCGCACAACATGTCGCATAAGTATTTTAATTAAGCATCAAGGGGACGCTCAAAAACACTGCCTCGAGTTGCACGCGACGAGTCGCGTTTTAATTAAGATCCACTAAACTAAGACAGCCATCTGAGGAGGCAGAGGGGCAAGTCTAGGGAGGAGGGGGAGTCGGAGGGGTGTGGACAGAACTTGAGATGCGCTGGGAAAACGGAAAGTTTCCATTTAAGCTAAACTCGCAACTGAAATTTAATTTACTTTGGCAAAAACTTGCGGCAGCAGCTGCTGCAACACCAGCGAAAAACCAGCCCGCCATATTTTTGTATGTATTACTCATACGCCCAGTGTGAGCGAGCGTGTGTGTGTGTGTGTGTGTGTACGACCAGACACAGTGACGGCATGGCAATAATGCTGGCCTGAAATATCAGTTTCCACGCCCACGGCGACAGGTGGCGGCGGCAAAAACAAGAGCAACAACAGCGACAAGCACCCAGGTCCGCCAGTTTCCAATTCTGCGTTGCGCTGAAAACTCCTCAAAATTGTAAGCATTTAAATGCCTTACAAAAATAAAAATTCACATGCAAGAAGTGGGGAACACGAGTGGATTGTTGTATTTCATAACTGCCTTAGCCCGCAGTTGCTAAAAAATTGTATTTATTTGCAAAGTGATAAAAAATATGCCCCATGTGAAAGCGGAAGAAAAACACAAACAGCGACAGAAAAATATATTCAAATACATTTTGGTGCGTTTTGCTGAAACATGCCTGCAGAAATAAGCTGGTAATAAAAATAAAGATACCCATAGGTAAAGAGAGCCTTGCAAAAGTTGAGGATTTCGAAATAAATTGCACAGGATCAACGCTAAAGATTAATATAAAAATATTATCAAAAGTTATAAGTCAATATGTATTTTATACCCCGAATCCATTGGGTAAAAAGAGTACAAGAGTATTTGTGCAAATGTATGTATGTAGGCAGAAGAAAGCATCTCCGACCCCATTAAGTATATATATTCTTGCTCAGCATCAAAACCCGAGTCGATCTAGTCCTATCGGTCTGTCTGTCCGTCCGTCCATACATATGAGCTCAAGGATTTCAGAGCCAGTACGAGCTTGCTTCCGTTAATCGATAACTTGCACCGTTTCTAAGTAATTTATCAAAGTCGATATCGAAATCCTGTTTAAAGAGTCACCAAATTTGAATAGCTTCTTGAATAGTATTTATATGTAAAGTATCTTTCATTTTATCGAGGGACTATTTTTGTTGTTAAATTTGTTGTTATTGAAATATGCATAAGTTTTTGGCTACAGGAACTCCTGACTAGAGCCTCTTCCTTCTTTTGTATAATTTTTGGGCTTAACAGAGTTTTTTATTTAAAATACTTTCCGAACTTGTATTAACAAGCTTCCTGTTTTTAAAAAATAACTTCCTGCCTGCGCATTGTTTGAAAAATTAATTGTTCTATTATTAAATAGCTAAAGCTAATGTCCGAAAGCGAAACGAGGATTTCAAGCGACAAAAAATGAGGTAGTTTTGTTGTTTTGTGTTTAGTAAAATCTGCAGGTCTTGTGAAAGTGAAAAATCAGATTCATAAATCGAACCTTGCGACAATTGTCTCAGCCTTATGGCATAAGCAGACATAATCATTATACAAGTTTCCTCTATTCCCAAGCATGTTCCTAAATTTAATTCCCAAGTTTTCTTCTGGACTTCTTAAACTCAATAAAAAATATTGTTTACCGATTATGTATTCAATTTTTTAGAAACAAATGCATGAAATACGTGAGTAATATGCATAGGTCATCTGATATGACACATTTCAGAGACGGCGGCCGCGACGACCGCCCTTCTTGCGAGTGGAGTCGGATGGAATGGGTGTCACATCCTCGATGCGACCGATTTTCATAGATGAGCGTGCCAGGGCACGCAGTGCGGATTGAGCGCCGGGTCCGGGTGTCTTGGTTCTGTTGCCGCCCGTAGCGCGCAATTTAATGTGCAGAGCTGTAATGCCAAGTGCCTTACACCTTTCAGCCACATCCTGGGCGGCCAGCATGGCGGCGTAGGGCGAAGACTCATCACGATCGGCCTTGACCTTCATGCCGCCAGTGACACGTGCGATAGTTTCGCGACCGGATAGGTCGGTAACGTGGACAAACGTGTCATTAAAACTAGCATAGATGTGAGCAACGCCAAAAACATTCTCACCATCTCGCACCTGCGGTCCCAGCGACACCTGAACTTCCTCTTTCTGAACCTTTGCTTTCCTGGGCGCCATGCTACAGCAATTAAATGATACTTAAGAAGAATCGGATGTTAAAAATTTAATTTCTGCCTTACCGAATATTTTTTCTTCAATTAGAAATCAGCAATTGTGAAATGAGAAACTGTAGCACAGTTTGCTTAAGAAAACAAAATCCAACTGACAATCAACTCAACGCAAACTAGGTCGTTTGGCTTAAATGCGACAACAACGATACCTTTTTCAGCTTCTCGGTAAAAATACCCTACAACTTGATATATACCATTTATATTTATCTGTATATGTATTCGCTACGCTGATTTCTTGGCGATTTTCCTTTATCGCCGACTGAAATTTCTTTGGTTTATTGTATTTTTACTGCAACTGCGAGTCAATCAAAGCAAACAAGGAATCGATGAATCCTGAAACCCGAACTGCCAGTCAATTGAGTTGTGGGCGTTTCTCGACTTATCGGAAACTTTGCCGGCGCCTTTCAGATGCCACGTTGTGTACTCTAATATTACGTTTGGCTGCCACACGGCAGACGATTTCATTTAATAGTCGTACAGATTGTGCAGCATTTATGGATCAATTGCCAATCAGTTCAACCAGAAACATTGGCAAGTGCAATTTATTGGGCTTGCGCTTGGCCAGAGGTAAACAACTGCATAAATTTGCATATGCAAGCAATTTGGAACAACTATAACACAGCAAATTAAATGCGTGTTATAATAGAAATTGAGGAGCCTGAAACCCAAGAAAGCACTGCGCAAAGTTACAATTAACACTTAACAACAAAATTTTCTACTACAAAACGCTTGCACAAGAATTGCCTGTCACAACTGTAATTTAGGCTAATTTCAATAGACATCTGTTTTATTTTTAGTTAAAATTTAAAAAATTTATGTATATATTTATAAATAATTTATGTTTGCTCGAAATGAAAATCAATTTTAGTATATTTCCTTTCAATTATTCAAATAAAACTCAAATTAAAGTTTCAAACTTTTTATTTTAACAAAAAAAACACTATATGTATATATAAATACATTTAACCTTAAAGTTGTTCACCTTAAATATAAATTTGTTCGATTTTGTTAGTTAGTGAAAACATAAAAGCATCAAAATTTTGACAATTTAGCTATCGATGTCATCGTTTAAATAAGATTTGCTTGCAATTCAATTAAAAACCTGAGATCAAAGGCCTTATTTATCCTAACAAGCGAAGCAAGAGAAGCGTTGCCCGCACGTCGTATACGCAATGTTTTATTTAATTCGATTTTTAAGCTTATAAATATTGTTGCGAACACTTTTAATTTATTCATATTCGTAAACAACCACTAAGCTGTTTTATTTACTGTGTTAAATACTTCGTTCTTATGTATTTAATTTATTATACCTATGCAAAATAAGGCTTACAAATTATCCAAAACTTATGGAACGCACTGCTGCTCCCAATATCTTACTCTTTTTAGGCAAAAATAAATTTGTTAAAAAACAAATAAAATTTGGCCACTGGTATTGGAATATATAAGATATGTATAGATTTAAATTTACTTACAATATGTGTATTAAGCTGTTGTTTATTTTAATTAAATCAAAAACTTTAAGCTACTTGCATAGCGTAGTTAAAGCATCGAACCTTGCTCTGAAGAGACTGGTTTTTTCACTCAGGCTAAACAGGCAGGATAACACACATATTCAAATAATGTACGCAGCAAACGACAAAAATGTCAAAACACAGTCCCGACCAGCTGTTTAATAAATAAACTCGATTAAACCAAGAAAAAAAATTAAGATGTATGTATATAACGCCAGCCACACAAGGCATTAATACTTGTTAGCAAGGTCAAGGCTGAACATGCACATCAATAGTACTTTAATCTATTATTCAAAAGTCAACTTAAACCGTACTTTATTATAAGCATGAAAGTATTTCTACGTGCCACGATAGGATAAGACGTGCCGCTTAAGGAGCATGAAACCACGAGTACGAAGCGAATTAATGCGACTGTTTGTGCGTACTTGGAAGCCAGTTCGTGTAAGACGTGCATATTGGGAAAATGGATATACGAATTATAACATAATAAGCAAACAAATTCCACTGCAGTTGTGCCACACGCTGTGCCCCACACAGCGGCA